AGGACTCCCTTGAAAAAGAGATTGGTTAAATAAAGTTAAATAAAGGAAAGTAAAGGTCACACAGTTATGGCCTCTGATCTGACCCTGTTGTCTCTTTTTTATTTGTCATATAATTTTCCACACTAGTCACTTCAGCTCCTTCCTCTGTCTATTTTCTGTTTTTTGTTTTTTTAATGATTAAAACTCCATCACCATTGGAGTGCCTATCAGACACCCCCCTTTTTAATTTGGATTATGCTCTCTACTCTTCTATTGCTCTCTGTATTTTGTGGCGGTAATAATTCATTCTTTATGCTTTTTACACTTTGGACTGAGAGGCTCACGCTGAGCTGAATAGCAGTTCAATTGGAGAGAAATAAAAATAGCCCGAAATGTCAGCAGGGGTTCATGATGGCCTCTTTTTCCTCAGAGAACTCGTATTAGGGCCTACCCACATCTTATACAATAGACTAATGGAGCAGAGCTGTCAACTCCACTCACATAAAATACAGATCACAGCACATTGTGGAGTGGGCTTTTCTCTCAGTAACTCTTTCAACGCTCCACATCCCGTCTACATTTAAAAAGTACAAATAAACAAACTGTCACACCTGATCTCGTTGTGCAGTTTTTTTATGAACATACACGTTCACATTCACGGCTCATACTCGTGTATTAACTAATAATAGAGGTTAAAGAAAGAGCTAATTAATTATTTTGTTTGCATGGTACTCTACAGCCTTTTTGGTCAATTTTCTCTATTTCAGGATTATTGATATATATTTCAAGCCTTTTGGTCTGAAAGGTTTGCGTTCAATAAAGAATTGCATGTTACATAGCAGCATTTTCAATCATTTACTTATTCAAGATGCCAGATCCACAATCAGCTAATGCCAATTAAACGTTGTGTCACCTTTAATTGGAGTTCAGTCTTTTAATGATGCAGCTGAAACCTTCATAGACTTCATCTTTGCAAAGTACCTGCAGGGAAATTAACTCATTGGCTGCCAAAGACGTCTATAGAGGTCTTTTCTGTTTTCAGCGAGAGTGTCTGGGGGACGATCTGCTAAAGCTTGTCCGTAAATATGGGCTTCTAGACAGAGTATGTAGTAACAAATTGACCCTCTAGGGGGCAGTGCCACTTTTGATGGGAGATGAGCATAGACTGTAGGCAAATAAGAAAAAGGGAACGGTTCTATGAGAGAACATGTCGCCGGTGAGACGCAAGTCCAGGAAGAACGGAATAAGGTAGAAACACATTTTTTTTCCTGATGAAAGAAGAGAGTCTACTCTTTCTTTTGGTGTGTTCGGTGTTTACATAGTCATAGCACAAACTATTCTGTGGCTCTAGAAAAATCAGTCAAAATGCTCAAAAAACTCTGGCAGTATGGGACTCT